AGGATTAACGGGAGAGGGGGCGATTCCGATCCGCTCTGGCGTGCGGGGAGGGAGGGACGCGAGGTTGGTGYGCGGAGGCTGCGGGAGCCGGAGTGACAGCCCGGGCTCCCCCGAGAGCCAGGCGGAGCTCAGGTTGTGCAGCCCTTCCCCGCTCGGAAAGTTGATGGTGCCTGTGCAGGGGAGGCCGGCGTGGGCAGAGCTAAAATACCGCAGCTGAGCCGGGCCCGGAGGGTGTGCGGGGAGCAGAGCGGGGCCGGGGTGCGCCCGCAGGGGAGCGGCGCAAGGAAAAGGCGCTGCTGCTGCTGCTTCCTCGCTGCTCCCCAGGACCACCCGTGCTGGCAAGCTCTCGGAGGAAGGACAGACCCAGGAGAGGGGAGGTTTCCCTCAATCTCACGCAGCCCCGAGGGCAGAGCTGCCGGGGGGCGCCGGGTCCGCGGGCACCTGCTGGGAGTGTCCGGCATTCGCGGGACCTGGATCATGTTAAGGGTATCCTCGGTAAGGTGCTCCAGAGTCCAGCTTTCCTGGGTCAATAGAAAATCTTAGCAATRCCTATTAAAAAAGATTAAAACTTCCTTATGTATGCATGCAATGTTTACCACTAACGACTGCATATAATTTAATTTTAGTCTGAGAAGGAGTTTATAACTAACCAAAGCCTCTCACTCTAAACTGTGTTTTGAAAACTGAAATGCAAACTGTCATGCACTAAATAATAAAAAAAAAGAAAAAGACAATTTGAGGCTCATGGTGGCCAGCAAAAATTGCAGGGCATACTGAACAAGGACTGGAGTTGAGAAAAACATCTGCAGACCATAGTGCCCTGGGAGCTGTGATTAGATAAAATACATGGGCTTTCACAAGTAAGCAGTCTTCAGGTGTCTGGAGGTCTTTGCTGTGWACAGACATGCAGCTTTCCCGACTGAACACTTATTGCTGTGGTGACGGTCACACGTTCCTGCCCTTGGGCTGACAGCAGCGACACATGAGCACACGCATGGCCCTGAAGCCAAGGAACACCTATGAGGGAGGCGTGGCTGCCTTTTTGTTTCCTGGCCATTGTAAAAGACKCTGTGGATTGTGTTTCTTTTCCTTTTACTAATGTGGCCACAAGGTTAATATTTTTTTGAGCAACAGTTAGATTTTTTTTCACATTCTTGCTTCATTGTGCTTTCGTCTTTATCTGGTGTTGCTGAAGACTGAGCAAATATTTAAAATAGTGGATGAGGAGATAGGTCATGGAGAAGTTGAAGTTCGTGTTCCAAGTTCCAAAACCTCTGAATTGAGTGAATTTGAAGTTTTCTGCAGCCACTTGTGTGCTTAAAAACCTCATGGTATTGAATGAGTTTCTAAACCCAGCTCTTAGAGTGTGATGTTTTCTAAGAACTTTTGTGTTTTGCCCTGCGTTATCTTCCACTTAGCCTCACGTGCGTGTAATTTGCCTGTGCTGAAAGGTTGCATTCATTGATGTTTTTAATAGCCATTAGGCTRTATGTTCCAAATAATTTTGCCTGCAGGATTTTTCTGATGGGTCTAATGCTCTTGGAGTAGAGCCCTTTGGAAATATTGCATCAAGATTACTGCATTTCACTTGGGAACTCATGGTTATTKTTTATGAACCCTTTGGGAGCAGCCTGGTAGACCACCAAGAATATTCACCCCAGCATCATTCGTTCAGAGTAGTAGCAATTTCTTCTMAGTCTAGGAATGCTTGTGCATAAAAGAGAAAAAATAAGCACCTAATATAAGGTGTTATCATCAGAAGTTAAATAAAGCCTTATGTCAAGTTTCTACATTTTGTTAACAAAGTAATGGTGCCAACTCTCTGTGTGTGGCAGGCTCATTTTAAGAAGCTGGCTAATAATAATAAATTGTGTTTGGCTTATGTAATGATCTCAATGGGATACATTTCTTACACAAGTTTTTTCCCCTGCTGCACAAATTTCCTCCTGACCTGACCAAAACCGGGCTGGTTAATGAACCGTGTAATCACTTAAAAGGTTCCCACACCATGTGGAAGAAGTTGAAAACACTCAGCTGTCCTACAGGGTGCATTTTGAACACTCAGAATTGGCAGCTATGAGCGTGGCAGACCCCACACGTGCTGAGCTGTGCACGGTACTCCTCACCCTGGCACCTATCTCATCCCTTCTCCGTGGGTCACATTGTGCTCGCTGTGGCACAGGAGCTGTGGTGTGTTTGCCTGCCCTGCCATGCCCTCCAGGCTGGTGGAGCTCGTTCCAGTCCAGTGTCACTGCTGCTATGCCATGTGCCAGCTACACCAACCTCCTTTATGCTCCAGACCTTCATTTCCCAAAGCAAGCACACACTTTGGGTGGTTGACAGAACGTATTGGCTCATTAACCTGCTGTGGTGTGCTGAGTGACACGACTGAGGCTGATTTTCTTAGGTCTGCTTAAGGAGGTCTTCCTCCTTTTGAAAGGATCAAGACTTCAGTGAGTGAGGAGGCTGGGCATAAATAAAAGGGAGCTGTGCCTGAAATGCTACATTCTTATAGCTGGTTTTAAATTGAAAATATGTTAAAAAGCCATCCATTTTAACACAGTCAGAGTGGTCTTTCATTATCTAAATCACATTTGCAATTAAGTAGCCACCAAAACACTAACTTCAATATCTYTTGGGARTGGCTGGCAGCRGTSCCTTCTKCCAGTCTGTAACCCAGCAGGAGAASTGAGTGGCAGAATGTAACACTGGGGAAGATGGAAAGGATCCTAAAGTGCAAAATCTCTCAAAATGAAACAGTTCTACCTTTTATGCAACAGTTGATGTGGAAAAAGAAATTTCTTGCAGAGGTGGGCTAAAAAAAGTCTGAGGAGAATGAGGGTAGGAGACCTGAGGAGAGAGAGGGACAGGTGTGTCACTGGGAAAAAGGGCAAATGCATCTCCACTGGAGAGTCTGTGGCACCAAGTTGGGAACCACTGTTGGAAACTTGCATTTGGGTTGCAAAATCTTGTTTGTAGGCATCATTTTAATCTTTTTGGTCACAATTTCGTTAATCCTTATGGGTGTGTGTGTGGGGGCACACCATCTCGTGAGTTTTCCTGTCACTCAGRTGTACCCACAGACCTATTGTATCCCATATATGCTATACCTTACTGCAGTGTGTTAGTGATGTTCTGTCAACAATTCCCTTTGCTGAGGTTATGCTTCCCCAGCATTTTAYTTTTTGGTGTGGGGACTGGTAGAAAGCTTGCAGCAGAACTGTGTGAGGTTGAAAAAGTTCAAATGTTCACTTATGCCTCTGTAGATGTTAACTGAGACTCTGTCATTTCAAATTTAATATTTCTCAGATTGAGCACGGTGAAGTGTTTCAGGCCATTATTCTACAGCAAGGACACCTGGAAAAGCCATGCAAGATAGCTAATGAGTGTTTAAAATGTACCTCTGTGTTTAACGTACCTGAGGTACATTAATTTTAAATATACTAACAACGGCTGCATCTTTTCTTTGTTTTTCAGAATTGGTCTGGGAGTCTTATTGTCGCCTCTTTAACTGGCGCTTTTGGGTCGTCTTTTCTTTATGGTTACAATYTATCGGTGGTGAACGCTCCCGCAGGGGTAAGTGACTGACAAAAGCGGAATTTACTATCAATAGAGGGCAGCCTTGTCCAACTATTGCKCTCCTCAGCATCCTGCCTTTATAGWACTTRCTACATAGTAGAAGGGGATTAAATCTCATATGGTAACTTTCCCTTGCCCTAAACCTTCTTTCTGTTCCCCACGAGGTTTTTCCACAAATTCAGTAGCTTTCAAAGAGTTAAATGCTGCTGAGGTGAATGGGTGTATGTGGTTTGTTTCTCATTCTCCCAGGCCCAGTATAATTCAAATCTTCTTGCACAGTTTTATGTGATAAAGTWTTTTTAATATCTGATGGGTGACTCTCCAGTAGCTGCATGCACATATTCAGCCAATTCTGTTCACATCATTCAATTCTAGAGGGTTGCACAACATTTCACTCCCACAGTGCTGATATTATAAATGCTTCTGGCTTACTCCAAAATGGGCCTCCTGTGTTTTGTTGTGATGCCTTGTTTGGTTCTGAATTCTAAACCTCTGGGTTGGCCATCTAATGGCTGCAACGTATGGGATGGATTTGATCTAGAGCACTGTGAAATCAGTGTAAAAAATTGTGGGGATTTCATTAAAATATCAGTTATTAYGAATGGAAACATGAACATTTTGTTTTTACCCTGGCTGTCTAGAGATCCTCAATTCAGTTAAGCACAGCAATAAGCAATTCAGTGGGGTTGCAAGTAACACTACTTTGAAAAGTAGTTGGTAAATATTGGGAATTAACTCTGGAAATTCCATTTCAAAATAGTTCTATTCCAAAGCTAAGCTCCCTCTTTTATGAAAATCTATGTGTGGCTAGATTTCCACCTAAACAGGCTTTTCATGTTAAAGATGGATGCAATATTTATGCAAATAATGAAAGAAATGTTTTTAAAAAAATCATGTTTCGTATGTTCATTCTATTTGGTAAACAGTTGACCCAAAGGACTAGGAAGAGACTCAGCCTATAGAAATGTTTAATTGTTCACTTCATAACTTCTGGAATTTTCTTCAAGTTTCTGATGTTTTCTATATTGATAATTCAAGGTTGGGTAAACTGGATTTTAATTCTACCATGACATGTCCAGACATAAATTCACCTTGCAGTCATCAGAGGATAAACATGGCTGAGAAAATATCAGCAAGTTGTTGAATAACAGCAAGCTGTTATTCTGTGGGCAATGGTATTGATTGCCCTGATGGTAAAAATCCTTCCTGCACTGCCTTGGGGCTGTCGACAGAGCAGTGAGAATGAGCTGATTTCTGACCTTTTAAGTACCATTTAAAAATGGACTGTCCTGGTAGTCAGAGCTCTCCTGACACTTTCTGTAGGAGTAAAGGAAAGAAAGGATGATAGGATGTGCTGCTTGGCAACACTCACACAGCTGGGTTTGAACCATGTGATGGATTACAGTGGTGATCAGAGTGTGGGTGGGGAGGTTGAAGATGCAACTGTACAGTGATAAATGGTAAATTCCATGTTTTGTACTTAAAAAACACCTCCAGGGTTGTCTGGTTTTGCTTGAAATCTTTAGTGTGACTTTTGGACTGAAACTGGGCACCATGTTGATGACTTTGGTAATGCTATTACAGGTGTGCATGAAGTCTCCCTTGGTGTTTCAGTGTTTGAGGAGCCATACATGAGCTAGTGCTAAGGAGTARTCCTACTGACAAGGAAGTTGTGTAGCTCAAAAATAAAATACCACTCTGTCCTCTGGCTCTGTCTGCAGCTTCAGGATTGATTTGTGTCATCCATTTACCTGTGACAGAGCACTTTCCTGTCCCTGTCCCTGGAGCTGCAGTGCCCAGGCTGAAGGGAAGAGCATAGRCTCAAGTCATAGCTGTGGTGGGGARCAGKRAGMCATACAATAGTTGAGCTTATTGCAGCACCAGAAAAGGAATCTTTGCCCCATCTGTTTTCTCCTGTGTGTCACTAAATCAATCTGCTGCAAGGTGATCCTTGGGGAATATGGATGTGAGTGACTGAGGAACACCAAAGCCGAGCATCTTGGAGCTGTAGATACCAGCAGCCTTGTAGGAGGCTGGGAGTGCAGGAATTCCTACAAGCTGCAAGCTGAATTTCATTTATAAACTTGGTAGGACAAGTAATTTCTCGTGGTGACATGCAGCTTACAGCAAACATTGCTGGATGTCCTTCTCTCCCCTGTTTACTTCTGTACAATTCCTCTTGATGCTGAAGTCCTCCAGCCTTAGAGAAGGACTGTATGATGCTTTGAGAAGTAGTGCTAAAATGCTTGATAATGGCTGTTGACTAAAACACAGAATGTTTCCAGGATCCCGGAACTGAGCATGTCAGCTCAATGACTGAGCTGATGGAGTGAGGGAAGTTAATTTAAGACTGAGGTGTTGATGMACTATTTGTAAATTCTTGTGTCCATTTTCTTTTGGTGCCACAAATTGTGTCAGTTCATCAAACCACAGGGAAATTTCTTGTAGTTCTCATCAGTGAGCTTTACTTCAGCTCATCTTGTGAGGCAGAGTTTGCCTAAATTTCTGATTCTTGGAAGGGGAAATAAGCTGCACACATTCTCTTCAGAGCTGCGATTGTTTCTCACTCATTTCCCTGTTGTTCTGTGGGAAAGAGCAYGGCCCATCACAGGTATGATTCCCTGAGAAACCCAGAATTACAAATCTCCATGGGCTTGTTCAAAGAGTTACCAGAATTTATTAAAAACATATGGGAGTGTTTGGCAGTAGGAAGAAAAAGGATTTAATTGAATACAAGCTGAAGCTGTCTGTTTCTGGGCTGAATTCCTACAGTTCATTTCATGGCCCAGTTGTGGGCAATGCCTGTGAAACAATGATGTGCTTTGTGCTCTGTGCAGGGAGAGAGGTCCCTGACACTCTTTGCTTTGCAGCCCTTGGCCTCTTCCTGCAGGAGGCTGCAGCTCTGGATTCCTATGGCACAAACATTCAGCCTGCTGTGTCAGCTGCTTCAGTCGCTGTCACTGCATGGGAATGACCTCTGTRACAATGGGTAAGACGAGGGAAATATTTCCCTCGTCTTCTAAAATATATCCATTAGATTCATATATATATATATAAAATTATATCTATTCCTTATATTCCTTTTATCTTTCYCACCCTAGCACTACCACCAAAATGAAATGAGCTGAGAAAAGAAGGTACTGCTATGAGTCAGCTACCATTTTTTGTAGGCTTTATTCAGGGGCTAAAATTTTTGTATACAGGTTTATGCCTTTAATATTATTGAGATACCTGACCAAAATCCCAAAGGAGCCTGTCCACAGGATTAAGTAGATTCAAATCCAGTGGATTTGTTCTTTCAGGTTTGTTTTGTTTCATGTGGATCTCCTGAAAAGCTCTGTCTTTTACGAGCTTCCTATTTATTGGCAATGGGAATCCAAARGGAGTGTTGATACATGTCAGAGCATCCATCTCTCTGCTGCTATTGAGTGTTGTAGTTTGTACTTTGTTTTCTTGAGTATCTGCAGTTATTTGATGTCTCCTTGTAAATACYTAAGCTATGCTGAAAAAATTAGTCATAACAGAAGGGGAGAGTAATTTACATATTATTTTTAGCCATTATCATTAACAAGAAATGTTAATAGTGTTCTAGAAGTATTTTCTCTTAGTATTSATTACTATCAGCAATTAATTTCAAATAGACAAGAAGATGTCTGAATCTAAATATAACCTGAGTGTTGCTGTTAAAGAAGATGTTGCTACTTGGTTTAATGGCAGATTCATTGGGAAGCTTAGTGTGAGACTCCTAAATGATTCATGGACCAAACTGACTTTTTTTCTTTTTTGTAAGTTTTTGGTTTTTTTTCCTCTTGTCTGTTTAGAAATATTTAGGATAGGGTGGGAGAAATAACCCTGTTCTCCTTTTAATTCAGGACAAAAGAAGTTTACTAGAAACTTGRTAGATTGAAGACAGGAAACTGTATGTCCTACCTCCACCTTTCTTAGGTATTTTGCTGATGGAGAGGTGATAATTCAAACTTAAAAGCCCTCAAATCAAATATTTCATGTGTCCAAGGCCAGACTTTAAGTAAAGTTTGAAATTCCTGGTTTGARCAGGGAAAATGTAGTGGCTTATACAGCTGAGTCCTGTCCCAGGATAATTTAGGAGCTGTTACATTCTGAAGGAAATCGGAGAAGAAACTGGGAAAAAGTGCCAAGATAAACTTTTGCTACTGTAGAGCTTGAGAGCTTTTCACAAGTGTGTTGTGCCCTTCTGCTGTGGTGACTGCAACTGCCTGGTGCTGTGTCCTTACCAGACCATCAGGCACCACGGTGGCATTCCCTTGGTTTGAAATGGGAGCAGMATAAAAACAAGGAAGCTTGACTGAAAAGAAGCTTGAATCATCACCTCCCCATCTGGAAATAGGTGATGTTTCTGCTGGCAATACAGAGACACTGTTAACATGTCATCCTGGAGTCCCAATTTTCCAAGGAGGGAGACACAAGAGCAAGAGTGATTCCTGCAAGCAAGTTACTGGGGTTTTTTGGTTTTTTTGATTACTGTTTCTCTCTGTTGTAATCATAACACGTGACTTTTTCACACAAATTTTTATTATGTATTTTCTTTCAGTATATAAAGAAGTTCTACAATGAAACTTGGGAGAGGAGATACGGCTTCTCAGTGGATGAAGGCACGCTGACGCTCCTCTGGTCCATAACCGTTTCTATTTTTGCCATTGGTGGCCTTGTAGGTGCCATTATTGTTACCCCAATTGTGAAGTTCTTTGGAAGGTAAGTGCTTTGGAAAACTTGCATTTTCTAAAACATTTTCTTACTTAGTCTCTCTAGAAGGCTTTACTTTTATTTAAGAAAAAAACATTAAACATCTTTAAATCCTGAAAACTTACAGTGCATTGTTTGAGTCACRGAAGCCATTTGCTCTTCTCTTTTTCATCCTTGTGTCAACTTAAAATGCAGTTTGAAGAAGTGTACTAGGATGAAGTTCATGYATGGTCTTCCCCAAGAAGCGGGGGACGACACCCACGTTTTATACAATGGAGTATTTGACCAAGTCTTGACCAYAGAGAATATGAGTATTTCAGGAATGTTTGTGTTGGTGTGTGTTTGCATTTTTGATGCAAGTTTTAGCTAGGTATTTCTGTCAATTTTTTTGTCATACAGTCTTTCAAAGAGCATTTTAAAGGTACTTTACAATTTATCTATATTTAGAAAGGCATGAAAAAAACCCCACCATTATAGTATTCATAATAACTGTTCATTTGGATTTTCTTCAGTTGTAAATTCAATATAATTTTGTATCTTTTGGTCAGTTAAATCACAGGAGAATGTTATCATGGAGACTTAAATATAAATGTAAACCTCCAAAGTTCTTAGTTTTCTGGTTTACATTTTGGCAATTCCCATTAGATTGTGCTTTCCTAGGTTTATTTGTCATTCTCCCAACTTGTCCATATCTCATTTTTAATCTCAAAGAGTGCATTTTTCAGGTTCTTCCATTTCATACTTACAGCAAGTTGCTATTCTTAGCTGTTACCCATTCTTCATGAATTTATTTTGTCACTTCAGCACTTGATTATCCATTCCTAAATATTTTCCATAGTCACATTATTTTTGGGATTTTTTTTAGGTTTTCAGTTTCTTCTGCCAAACCATACATTTGGCTTTTACACACTTGTTAGTAATATGAAACTGTGCCTGACTCAAACTGATTAATTCCCAGAATACTGCTGAGTTTTTATTAAAATAAAGTGAGGTAAAAATGGGTTCACAGAAGGTTTGAATTTTCAGCGAAGGCTAAAACAGCTTTGTGTGCAGGTTTGTTAAAGTGGTGGCTGATCTCTGCTGTAGATAGACCACTTTGGTTGGGGCTGGGCAGATTTCCAGGGCAGCCCTTTACACTTGCAGGCTCTGCCCCTGTTTATTATGTTTCTCTCCATTAAGGCACGAAAACAGCTCTGTCACAGATACWGAGGGTGAGTGCTGGAGCAGAGAWGGGAAGGGGCTGTGTGAATAAAGGCTGCTCACCAGAGAGTGCTTCTTGAGTGTGCTGTTCACACTGCAGTGTGTTTGTCTGGTCTAGGAACCCAGACTGACACATCATTATGGTAATTGAGGAGCACATTGTGAAATGTTGACAGAACAATAAAATACTTTGCTGTTAAATTGCTCAAGTGTAGGATGGAGGGTTGTATGTATGATGAAGCCGAGTTCCATTTACACTGACACGGAATAACGAGCTAAGGGGGATTAAAAGCRTTAGTCAGAAATAATGTATGACTTTAGAAGAACAATTTTGAATCATATTGCTGTAAGGTTAAAAACATGAATTCCAAATTACTGGATTCCTAAGCCCTATTTACTTCAAGAGAAACATAGAGCAATTTTTTGAAAGGGAACCTTCATAAACATAATTCCCATGTTCAGATGTAGCTTTGACACAATWATGTAAATTCTCTTCTTCTGCTGAAGAGGGTCTGCTGTGGTTTATCCTGAGCACCCAGACCAATGTGCTCAAAGGRTTGTTTAGGTCACTGCTAGGGAGAMGTGCCAGGCTGAGCATCACAGCARGCTCCTCTCCTTGCTCTGGGTACCACAGCCAATGGTCACTGTCAGTGCCTTCAGTGGGACAAAGGACTGCAGGGGGTTGGGCTCAGTGTGCAGCAACTTCTCTGTGCTATTCTTTGCTTCTCACTCCTCCTGTGCTCCAGTGTGGGTCCCTGTGGAGCACAGCCCCTCTGGGGGTGTCCCTGCTTAGTCTGGGTCACCCTCTCCTCCACCGACCTTGTTATGCCCTCTTTCCATCTCCTCACAGAAGCCACCCCTGCAGCCCCTTTACTTCCAAAACCTTGCCACAGACACTGCTTTACACAGCAAAACCCTAAACAGTGCTTTTCTTGGTTTTGTTTCCTTTTCAGCCTGTCAAAGCCTTTGTTTTTCTCATGCTTAGTTGGGCTGTGCATTTCTCTTCTCAGCTGCATAGTATAAGGGTTTGCTGGTCAACTTTTTCTCAAAAATTATATATTTTGTAGTTTTTATTTTAAGATAAAAAAAAAAAAAAAACAGTATCTTCAGATGAAAGTATAAGACCTGTTTAACCTGAATTAACATTTTGTTTCCATTTTTGGCATTATTTATTTCACTTGAGCCATCTCAGAGTGTATATCCACTTGAAAAACCWGTTTCAAATAGTACACTCATCACTCTTGATGACTATGTTGCATAAACTTTAAATGAATTGTATCTCATTTTCAGTCTTCAAGCCCTGTTATTCTTTCAGTGTTCCAAACTCACTAGAAAGCAGGGAAAGTTATTAAAAGTACAAGTATTAAAAATACTTCCTTTGAAAAATGTATGCATCTGTTGTGAGCAGTCAGGTGACTTATTAAATGGATGTGGGATTTTCAGTTCATACTTACATGTTGAAAAGAATGAGAATTTCTGGGTCAGTTTGTTACCTGTTCTAGAAATGATGGGGTAGAGAGCCTTCCTGGYCATTCTTCTTCTTTTGAGTTGATTGGTCCCTCAAACTTCAGTAGAAAGCTCTGCAACATGAAAACTGAAAGAAATGAAGCTGTTGGCAAATGAGAAACGTAGATGTTTTAAAAAAAATTTAAATATATTTTTGTGATTTTGTTTATATTTGTTTTAAAAGTGATAATTTGCCATAAAGAGTATTTACTTTATTTGAAAAAAATGTGGTGTTTCATTTATCTGTTATAGAATCAAATAATTTTAAAAGTGGGGAAGAAATATGTACATCTGTATTTTGGTTAATTCCAAGAATTTTTATAAAGGACTTGACTTTTACTGCTTGAATGAGTCCAAATATTTTTCCTAACTCTACAAGTAGGAATTAATTTTCCTCAATGTATGTTTTTAGTATGGAGGATTTAAGGATGAATTATAATGACATAAATACATCATGTTCAGGAAGTTCTCAAAGTGGCAAAAACTGTATGTAACATTAAAGTTCCTGCAGTTCAATCAGTTTATTGGCATTTGAAGTATGCTCTTTGGTTTTTCCATACAGACATTTATCCAGAGTATGCTTATTTATAGTCGTGTAGAGAGCCTCAGGCCTGGCACTTGGGTTTTTAGGACACATTGGAGGCTCCTTGCTGTGCTTTTGMAGCACAGCTCTCTGGTTGTCCATGTTATGCTTTCTTTTAAATTGTGGTGTAACTTTGAAACTGTGTCCATGTGGGCAAAGCGCTGTTTTTTGGAACTCTGCACAACATCCAAGAGGCAGTGTTTGTTAGGCACCTTTTGTTTATAGATATTTAAGAATAATAGCTCAGTGTGCTTCTAATATAATTAGAATTACATTAGATTCAGATTAAACTGCCACAATGCTGGTTTCTACCTAAAGCATCTCTTCCTTGCAGGAAATGCACTTTGGTGCTCAATAATGTGTTTGCAGTGACAGCTGCGTTGTTGATGTCCCTCTCCTCGCTGGCGGGGTCRTTTGAAATGCTCATCCTGGGCCGCATTATCATGGGCATTGATGCAGGTAAGCTTTGGTCTCACTCTGCACGTCTGAAATGCTTTTTTGCATGCACACACTGTGTCCCCTYCCCTGGTCAGAGCTTTCTTTACACTAAAAAGGCATTCCAGGGACTTGCTGTGGCCACACTCATTTCACTGGGACATGAGAGCAGACTGAGGGCTCGAGGATGTGATGATGGAGAAGACACTAGAATGAATGGTCACGGCTGCTAACAACCCTGGTTGTTCCCCATCTTTCCTCTTCCAGCCCTGCTGGARTGTGCCTATTTCCATGCCATGAAAATCCCTTGGCTGGAGGGTATAATCTGTTTATTAACACTSCTTGCTGCTGTGTGTTTTGAAGCTGTTGGATCTCATGTTAAAACCAGCAGGACTAAGGAAGGTTTGGGATCTCCTAACAATATGGGCTTCCCAGTTTAAATCTAAACCATGCATAAAAAACAAAATAAAGATTATTCTGGCACAGCAGCACCAGAATAATCTTGCAGCTAAAAGGAGGGGTCTCTGCTAATTTTCATCTCAGATTACAGCCAAGYGACCAAACTTCTGGAGCTTTGCAAACATTATCATTGCACTGACCAGGGTCACACATTTGTTTTCTCCTGGTTTTGAGCAGCATTCCAGTTCTTATTTTATATCTGTTGTGAAGAGTTCTGTAACTGAAAGGAATACCTGCTAATACTGCTTACAGTAAAAATGCTTCATCTGACAATGTCTGGTCTGTCTGACTGATGCATTGGGTTTTTTTTTTTTTTTTTCCTTACCCCTACCAGTGATAACATGATTTTGCTTGCTTTGGGATGAGTAAATTTAAAACATATAATTTGTTCCCAGAGATTCTCATCTCTGAGTAACCTTTAGAGCTCCTCATCAAAAAGCAGCCTACGCACATTGCTGTAGATCTGTAACAGATAAYCAATCCCATAGTTATTAAATGGAGTGAGAGTAATTAGCCATGCAGAGATAATAATTTGTGTTGTCTGTGGATAGATACAGTTCTGTTCCTTGCATGTTTTTATRCCACCCTTGTGCACAGATTACCACTCAGGCTCCTTTCAATAGAAATTTGTTGCATACCTGGCATAATGAAAAGATGTTTTGACTTAATGTATGGGTTTTGTTCTTCCTTTGTAGGCATTTCTTTAAGTGCCCTTCCCATGTATTTGAGTGAAATATCTCCTAAGCAAATCCGTGGTTCATTGGGTCAGGTCACAGCGATTTTCATTTGTATTGGTGTTTTCACTGGACAAGTTTTGGGGCTGCCAGAAATATTTGGGCAAGTAAGTACTGAACAGATCTTTTCTGTCAAAGAACACAAGCATGCTCCAAGCGTCATATTTTCATATTTTGACTGCATTCTTTACTAAAGTGGGAAACAGGAACTTTTTGGTTTTGTTCTGAAGCACTTTGAAAAGTAATTTCCTCCATGTCCTATAAAAATGTGTATGTGAAACTAAGTTTGGCAGATGTGGCCAACAGTTTCAACAGCTTGATTGGCTTGTGTGTGCCCCTATGCAGGTCTTCTTTCCACCTTTTTTTGACATACATTTATTTTCGCTAGTTCCCAGTTTCTTTAGGCATTATGGGAATGCTTAAGAGTCTTTATATTTTTGATTTCTATTTTTTCAGTATGAGGTAGAACAGAAAATGAGTTGATAAGAGTTRCTATGAGAACCAGAATAGGAAGACTCTTGCTTAGTGTTTAGAGGGCTCCTTGTAATGCACTCCAGCTTTTAGAGTTAAGTGATAAAAGTGAATATATACTTTCATGGGAAGATTATCTGTTCAGATAAGAGGCTGTCTCGGTGTTGCAGGCTGAGATTAACTTGGTGGCCACTGGATGTCATCATTACTCCGAATAAATGAGCTCGAGTTTTGTTCAGGCTGGCACTTGGAAATACAGAATCACAGGAAGGGTAAGGTTGGAAGGAGCCAAAGTAGGTCACATGATACAATGAGGTACTTTCCATTCAGAGATGAATCTTCAAGGCACTGCAGAGGAAACGTCTGTAGCAATCCTCTCATTATGAAACTTGAACTCAGAATCCCTCCTGASAGCCAGAAAAAGAGGTAACCGTTGAAAAATGAGAGGAGCTTGTCTTTCTCTGCCCATCTAAATGCAACTCCTTTGTAAATACACAATACCATCCTCCCTGACACTTTTATTTTTGTCTGACYRGATTTCTYATTCTGCCCATTTATTCTGTTCAGYKCTCCTGAAGGCARCAGTTTGATTCAATTTACCCTTTATTGAAGGATAGATTTCTCCCCTCCACCTTCAAAGAAACAGATTTTAGGAAAAAAACTTAAAACAGCTTTCACTGGCTTTTTCATTGTGTGGCTTTTACAGATGTTTCTTCTCTTGCCTTGGAAGCCAATCTGTCACAAATGAGTGTATGAAATATCAAGAGACAAATTCAATTCCTTAGAATATGTCAGCCCTTATGTTGTAGGCTTTTTTAAAATTTGAGGTTTTGAAAAATGTGTACAGAARGGTGAGGTGTCATGCAAATTCTTATTCCTTGATTTCAGCTCATTCTTGTTGGTTTTATTTCTCTTTTTGCCTTCCTTTCATTCCCACAGCTGCTGCTACCAAATTGTGGAGGTAGTGTTTGTTTCTGCTTCTCCAGTCTGCTTTAGAATGAGGTTGATTAATGTCACACCACTGGTGTGATTACCACTCAGAGATAGGCATTAGTTTATGCAAGAAGAAATATGCTTTATCTGTAGAACTAGCTCTTTTCAAGATGGGTAACATCAACATGTAAAAGGAGAAAATTTTGGCTGGTGTGAATTAGAATATTTCCAGCCAATTTATTGGAGGTAGCTTGAATTTTYTAGTTGGGTATGCAGGTGTGGGTTCTTTGGGGTTTTTTTGGGTTTTTGTTGTTGTTGTTTTGGTTTTTTTTTTTTTAATTTTTACTTGGGTTCAGTCAAGCCAGGATTTTCTTCCCTRTCTTCATGGAGTTCCCATTGAAACTCCTTCAGTGGGAGGTAGATTTTATTTTATTGCCCTGTAGTTGTTTATTTCTTTTCAAAAGTTTTTATAAATAATACAAGTTACAAATTATTTGTCTTCTGYCATGGTTTCATAAGTTTTCTGCTGAGCTCTCTCATGTATCCATCACCTGTAAATTGAGCAAATATTGAAGAGGTTATTAACCACAGTATCTAAGCATTGATGGCTTTAAAGAAAGGAGGGACAAAAACAGAGTTAGGCATCTAACTCTGAAAGAGAGTCTTTGAAAAATAAATGGACATAAGAASGGCTGTCAGTGTGGCTGAGGTCCTGTCTTGTTAGAGGAGACAACAGCAATATTTGCTTGTGTGGTCAAGCAAATGACCTTTCTCAAGGGAGAAAAACTGACTTCATTGTGCTAACACAGGGAAGAGAACCCCAGAAGCAAAAGAGTGGCTTAATCTCAAGGACAATATGGCTACAAGAATGACTTTTTATAAATATTGTGTGAATAATTGCATGCTGAAATTCATCAGGGTAATGTTTGGAATAGATTCCTGGCTGAAGTAGCTTGAGCAGAAAATTTAAATTTTAAATTGGAGCTTGATTCATTTATGTGGATTATATGAGGCTGTTGCCTTCAGTGGTTCCGTTGAAGCCTCTCCACAGAAAAGGAAAGTGTTTATGTTGGCTGTGGGGCATAGCAGTAACAAGCATTTATTAACAACCCAAGTGATGATTTCCTCTGTTATCAAATGCACAAGTGTCGCTTTAAATGTGGAATTGTRACAAAAATAGCTCTGAAGCAATGAGTATTACTTGAGGCAATTCAAAAGTCCTTACTGCTTTCTGTATCAAGTGGTTAAGCAACCCTAAAGTGATTTTTAAACCATCTTTTGTTTGTCGAGATKGGTGGAGGCGAAGCAGGGGCAGGTGTGGGCAGCTCCAGGGCAGTGCTGAGGGCAGTGGTCAGCTCTGGCTGGGCTACTGCCTTTAGCTGGTGGCTGTTCCCTGTTCCTTCAGCTTTCCCAAACTTTCTACTCAAAATGCTGAGGATTGACAATTTTCTCCTTTTCATCTATTACCTTTTCATGCCAGTACTGTCAACTTATGCTCATTGTTCTTTTGATCAACTGTTACTTTTTTTTCCCCCACCTACTACAGTGTGCTCCTTTCTCCTGCCCCCATCACTTGTGATCTTTGTGTTTCAGGTTAGACTTCACCTCCTCTAGTAACACCAGCTCTTTTATCTGTTTCTCATTCTGTAAGCCTTTCTCTGAAATACTTCTTGGGTTAGATTTAAACCCAGGAGAACAAAATTATACAGATAACCCAGATGAAATGATAAAAATATTAATTATTTTTTTCATATTATAAAATTATATTAATAATTTTATTAAATATTTCCTGTTTTTTCTGGGATTGTTTTGTTTGAAGTATTGCAGAAATGCATTTACTTTTTTCTCTGCTTTCTGCCATATTGACATGAACTGGACAAATATGACTATATCCAATYTTTAAATTATAGTATAAAAGAGCAAATGCAACAAAAAATTGCAATCTAATAAAGATTGTAACAGCTAAATACAGGCATTTTTTGGATTCTGAGCATATAGGATTTTACCAYAGTTGTCTCCAAAGGTACTGATCTTAGAACGTATTTCTTTAGTATACAGTGTTTACCAAGGGTGATTATTTGAAGGAGAAAAGCTGCAGTTGTGATTTCAGTCCTCTGCTGCAGTGACTTTATATTCTTACTTGCTGCCCAGTTTTGATTCCTTCCCATCCAACAAATCCCACCAATGCTTTTTATCCAAGATTCTGATTCTTACAGATCATAAGCTATGAGAAACCACATCTCTCATGTCTCCACTGAGGTCTGGGAAATTCCACAATGGTAAAGCAGGCTGGTGTTCAGAGCACAGAGCACGATGATTTCATGCACTGGTGATCTGCTTTTCCCCACCAGCCCAGCTGCTTAGAACCCTGTTCTTATTTTCCTCTTGTGTTCTGTAATCGAGAGCCCTTAGTTCTTCAGGAAAACATGGCATGTGTAGATGACAGCTTGGTGCAGGTCCACAGGGGTGCAGTGATGTTATCTGCTGTAGCGAGCACTGAATTATTGCTACTGGCTRCATGATTATTTAATTCAGGCAAATTTTTGTTGTATAGCATATGCAGCTTTATATCTGCAGCAGATATTGACTGAAGGAAAAATCAGATAATAAGATAAGGAGGAGCTCTCGTAGACCTGTCACTTCTTCAAACACTGCCCTCCAGGTGTTTCTGTTCTGTTTCTGTGATTCTGCAATTGAATCACCCAGCCCATTTTTCCTGCAAAGCAAAGGCCAGTGCTTTGTCAACTTCAGTTTCCAAAGTTCAGATTTACACTTACTGTCTTGGGGGAATAATGTCTGGCCTGATTCTGACATATTCCATGTAACCTTACATGTCTCTCTAGCTAACTCGTCTAGTTCCTCCTGCGTGTAATATGTGCCACAGCTTTTCCTTAGCGGTAATCTTTTAAACATTTAACATTTTAAACATTTAACATTTTAAACATTTAAACATTTAATATATTAGATGGTAACATTTTTTTAAACATTGTAAACCCTCAGACTGTCTCTTCTACAAATTCATTTCATTTAACGAAGGTCAGCTTTAATCTTTGCTTAAATTATAGGGAATTTAGTTTCTGAATACATTTGCAGTAGTTACAATATTCATCTTTTCAATATACATTGAGCTTCAGAATCTCTTTCCTCTATATATCCATGTGAGAAAGGAGAGAAAAAAATAATGTTTCGTGGTGTGAATATGCTTTCAGGACAGGTAGAGCTGAAGCAGTTTCCTGCCATGCTTTTCTCACTCTTTGCTTTGAGCCCCATTTCCYGTGTGTGGTGTGTAAGGCTTTGCCATGCTGCAGTTGTTTTCCCTGGAGCTGACCCCTGGCTGGTTTTGGCTGCTTCTCTGATTGAACAGCTGTTTGCCATGGGTGCACCAATGGAAAAGCAGATTTTTGTTTGTTTGTTTGTTTGTTTGTTTGTTTGCTTCGGCAGCCCTATTTTATACACTTCAAGTGTTTCTAGGTCATGCACCCAGGAGCTTGTCTAACCACATTGTTGCACTGTTTCATAGTGGATAGTATGTGACCCTAAAAGCCTTGCTTTGCTTGCATCCTAAGATTTATCAGGGCAACACTTTCTAAAAAAATCCCTATCACTGTGCAATTATTTCCAGGGGGGTGGGGAGTGTGTGTGTGTGGATAGTGTAAACAGAAAAAATATAAAATTCCTGATGTGTCCATCTCTTGAATGTCGC